ACCTCTTCATGGGTCCCAAATCGCCCCCGCTTCTCTTAACAAACATAAGGTTTTCATAGATATACAAGGAGGGCACAGTAAGAATTTAAAGAGTCTCATAGGCCAATCTACAATCGTTCCTAAACCCAAAGCCTGCAGGAATTCTTATAACCTTACGTTGCAAACCGAAGACTCTCGGCATTACCGCCGAATGGCCCCAGACCATGATTACATAATGTCAGATGAGACTGAAAAGTGACATAATAAACTGTTCGTAAGACCTTGTGTGAAACGCCCGATACTAGATTTTTGAGTACATATAAGTTCTTTGATAGGCTTTTGCTCAGATAGTCAATATGTTGACCCCATTGAAGCTTGGGGTCTAGATGTATAATCACCTCGTATTTCAGTTAGACTGTGGAAAAATTATATTTATCTGTAATAAAAGCAGACAATTAAAATAAAAGTACTCTACCAGGAGTAGTTATTAACTGCAAACTTATCAATGACTGAGGTGTATAATAATACAAAGTTTTAATATTCTCATCGGTACTTACATTCAGATGTGCCTGGTATTATGTTTAAAAATATAAGCAGTCACCCATCGAACTTTTAAACAGCTCACACGGACCAAGAGCCAATGAAAACAGCGGATATCGCTATTAAGATAATGCGTTTTCTATTATCGGCAGACTTATACATCCTTCGGGTGAGATATAACAATATTTGTCTAAGCGACTGAAACCATAAAGTAGTTTATCAGAAAAAATCACGTTTCAACCGCTCAGTGGTGTACACTTGGGTAGGTAGGTATAATATTTTATTTTTAAACCAGTGAAATCAGATTTTGTGAAACAAGAATATTTTTAGTATAACCATAATAACTACAGTGTTCAGTTAAATTCAAATAGAGAACTGCAAATGAGTTCGGTTGTGACTTTATCAGTGTTCTTTCTAAACTTCTTTTTCCATTTTACAAAGATTTTAAAAGGTGGCATCCATAGTGTGATAATAATTCTGCTGCTGAAGAGTCAGTGGAACCCTCTAATCAATTGGAAGATTTACAGTAGTAAAACGTAAGTGACATGTTCAATACCTCTCTGATGATGCCAAATGTATATTGAAACATGTTTATGGAGGACTGTGTTTTGAATTGTATAAATCAGAGGCAATTGCAGAAACATGTTTTTTAACCAGAGTGCTCAAAGCAACTTGCTACTAGATTATAGGAGAAACATCTTCTAGGCGGAGGAGAAAGGACTGTGGCAAATTCAGACAAATAGAACCACACTTTATTGAACCTATAACCAGAACAAGATACGAAATGTATGCCGCTAATATTTTTTTAACTATTGAAAGCCTTCGAAGTAAATTGGTTCAAAAGGACATTCTGTCATGTTCAGCAACAACACTTCGATTATTTTTAAAGCCAATAATTTTAAGTATAAAACTTTAGATAAGTGCCAGGCACTAATGGAAAGTACTAGAATAATTTCTATAAGAAATAATTACATTAGACAGATAACTTAGTATCGAAAAATGAAACGAAATATTGTTTATTTAGATGAGACCTGGTATGACATTCATGATACCATCAAAAAAAAAAAGTTGGATGAATAATAACAAAAAATGTTCTAATTCAGTACCGTTCAATAAAAGACAAAGAATTATAATTTTACAGTGCAGTGGAGAAAATGGATGGATTGACAATGTATTATTAATATTTGCAAAAAAAATTAAAGACATGTCTCTAGATTACCATGAGTATAAGGAAATGTCGCTCCTAAATTTTCATCTAGTGTTCTCCAGTTAATTAGAATAGAAGTCACAAAGATCACAACAACCAACTGGAAAAATGTAATCAAATATGTAATAGGAGTGGAAAATGACTATGTTAACTATTTACCAGCATTAACTAAACTGGAAGTAGCAGTAGCAGTAACTATAAATTTGGAAGATATGAGTGATACTAGTGGTAACAGTGACTTTGAGTAGATTAGCAAGTGCTTAATTCTAATCAGAAGTTACTTGAAACCTTTGTTTTTATTTTAATTGTAGATATTCTCGTTTTGCTTATATACCTTTGAAAATAGAGTAAAAACACAGTTTTGGATAGAATAAAAAGGTACAAAGTATTTAATTTAAAATAGTCAAAGTACTGGTTACGTTATTATAAAATACCTGCTATACTACGTTCCACCTTAAGAAAATAACATTGCGGAGATAGGGCCATGTATTTCTTATGGACGATAGAAACGCGGTGTTGCCACGACACACACAAGCACAATTTAGGGTTGTATAATTCGTATTTTCGTTTCCATAGACATGAATTAAATTAATGGTTTTTAACGTAATTGACCAAAAGTGCCCATTCGAAACAAGAGATGAAAAGTAGGGAAAATGATTTTTAATTAGATAAATAGTATTTACAAAAGATAATTTTATTTTATCTTATTATAATTATAGTAACGACGGTTTTTTTGTTTTTTGGTGAAAATATCATATGCCATGAATTATAGAAATCAGTAGAAAATATTGCTTACTTAAATCATGCATTTTGCCGCCTATTAAAGTTTTAAAAGCAAATAGACCGTTTGGAATGTGTATATCTAATTACTAATTGCAACTTAAAATAATATGATGTGCGTATGTCAGCGATTTTATGTCGTTCTCTGACTACATAATGATAATAAGGCTTTTATTTAGTAGTTAACATTTAACTTTACAGTTAAATGTTAATTGAAAATGAAAATTCAAAAATTAAGCAAAGGGAATATCTTGGACATCTGTGCAAAAGAGAGTGTCTGAGAGTTTTGGCAAGACTGATCTCCATAAGTGTAATGTTATTTTCTTAACTTAAAACAAAGATTAGGTAGATATATAAAAAAATGTTAATAAAAGTTTTAGACCTCTTACCCATTTTAAAATTAGTGTTCTCTAACACGGTGTCAAACCAGTTGTGGTTCTTTAATAGAACACTCTGTATTTAATTTAAAAAATGAATTCTCTATTTTTTCCTGATTACAATAACATAAAAGTTATCAGGGATAAAATAAGAAGTTTTAATACTTATGAGCATTTGTGTTCATATAATGTAAATATTTGATCATACTGTTTAATTGTATGGTATAATTAGGTACTGTTATTAACAATTTTTTTTTATATAGGTATTATTATTTTATAATAAGTTTTGTTCAGTTGAATCAATTAGTGTTATTACTACCTAGGCATAGAAGAAGTTGATAACACCCATATTTTTTATTTAAACCTTATAGAATATGAAACTTTTTGTTAAAATAAAATATCTACTGATACCCACATAATTTGAAGACATTGTGACTGTTTCATTTACACTTAAAATCAAATGTTTGCAAAATAATAACTTTTATTTAATTTAAAATTAGATATTGACGCTACTGTTCAGTAGAATATCATAATGGTCACTCTAACACTGTCGCAAATTTGCTAGTGTCTTACTTGCATTTGTTTCCTCAAATTTTCCAATGAAATTATGTGTCTACTATACTCCAAGGAACTTCACACTTGTTACATATGTGTTTTCAGCCTGGGTGTCCTTAAGAACAAAAACAGCCCTGCTGGTCTTTTGTCATTAAACAGCAGCCTGTTAACACAGAACCACTCTTTAGTATCCAACAATGCAGACCTGGAACCCCTAAGGGAGTCCTCAAGTGTGTCAGCTGAGAAGGGTACTGTAGTGTCATCAGCAAAGAGTGTGTATGTAGTGTTTGATTCAATGCTTGTAAGGTCATTAATATATATTAGAAATAGTATGGGTCCAACCACAGAGCCCTGAGGAACACCAATATTAACAAAACTCTTCCGTGATAGCCTGTTCAGATTTACTCTGCTAACCTAAATTTCATATATATCATCACCACAACAAGCAATTCTAGTCTTATCAATGCAATTTATGTTCTCATTCCTGTCTCTTTTAGAACAAGAGTTATGGAAGAGAGCACCGCACTTTACACATAATAACACTTAAAAACTTTTTTCTACAACATTTAACAGTCGATCTTTCGGGAGTGTTGTTGGTTTGCTGTTTACTAGACGACGCCATTTTTCCTATTCGATAAAAGATAAATAATATTCTTAAGATTAAAATTAAATTAAAATTGAAATATGGTTAACATTCGTTAATTAAAAGCCATAGGGAACCCTAAAGAGTACATTGATTGGTGATGGGAAGTCCTGGTTCGTTTTAGTGACCCGGGTCTTCCAGGTCATTCATTAAAATGACCCATTCACATGAATGACTAATTAAATTTGTTGTGTATAAACCCGTTCATCAATATTCGTTCATTAGAATGACTTTAATTATATTGTTGTTTAGACGTAGAATTCAATATTGCTACTACAAATGTAAGAATTAAATATAGTTTAAGGCTGACATTAAGATTTGTATTTCTCAAATCATCTTCAGAAATCATTAAAATATGAAAAAAAATACTTGAAAAAGATAAGTATTACAAATTCCATATTATGTTCATGAATGAATGATAATCCAACAATTAAAATGGATTTTATTTCCTACAAATTTATAAATAGAACAGACTACGGAACTATTGACTCGACAATTAGAATGTATATAATTTTACAGTTTTGCAGCGTAAGGGTTTTGCCATTCTAGAAAAATGAAATTAGTGTTAAAACGATCTTTTGCAGTTCGCGTTTCATGCATTAATTTGACTGAGCAATGTGTCACAATCACACAGTTCATTTCATAAAAACACTAGACACTGTCCTTCATAGGGTCATTTGAACTATAGGGTCACAGAATGTGATTGTATCAGTCACAGGTCTTCGAAGAGATCAGATCTTTGTCAATGGATCATTTGTGACCTTCTCATCACTAACATTGTATAGTTATATTAGTAAAACATTACTATACAACTCAATAAAGATATGACAGATAATTTACAATATAAATATGCGCATTAGCACAAAGATCCCTTAGTACCCAAAACACATAACTAATAGTCCAATAAGCTCTAACTTACTTGTTACTGAACTAGGATGTTTCGGATCTACAGGAACCATTGAAATCTTTTCTTGTTTTATCCTTATTTGTGGTAAGCTTGTAAATGTTGCATCAGCTGGAGTAGCAGTTTTTTGTCTTGTGCTTCTCTTGGGCAAAGCAGATATGGATAGAGTATTTGGCTCCACATTTTCTTTAGACTCTTTGATTGGTTCTTTACCTACAGAAAATTATATCATTTATAATAAGATACTTTACAAACTTTACTGTAAAAATTGGTATGTAGGGTAGAGAGGGCACTATTTCAATTTTCAGAGATATGGTCAAGTTTTTAAAAGTATCACTACTAGACACATTTGGTAGAAAAATAAAGAAATTTTCCTTTAGCTGGTTCTATATTAAATATTTTATTGAAAAAACACAAAAAAGACTGTACTGGACTGGCTGGACTCCACAAAAAACACAATAAAAAATTTGGTTATGGTATGGGTTTCAGAACGTTAGACATATAATACAAGATAGACAGACTAGCTGGGACAGGGACTGCTTTGCATCAGTTTTCTCTGGAGCACTGGGTGAATGGGCTTGTATTGCAACAATGAGTCTATCTTGTATTATATGTCTATGGTTAGATGACAATTTTGATAGATGTGAAAAGTTTGCAGATGTCCCCTAACTTCACTTTAAAACTTTGTAATACATTTTGCTTTACTGCTCAGTTATTCTTTTCTATATGGTAATTCTATCGTTGAATACCTGAATATATTTTTATTTTTTGTAACATGCCCAAATTTAGTATTCACTTTGTTTCTACCTTTTCAATGTTTATATTTCCATGTTAGTTCATATGTATTTTATTACATACATAGTTTCTTCATGAACACCTTTTCCTTCATATTAGTAAGACACATATGTGCAAAATATTTGCACATATGTGCAAAAGTAGAAATAAAAGCCCTTTATCCCACAATTAAGTATTGTATATACTAAGTTTTAGAAAAGAATTGATGTAATGTAAATTATTGTATTTTTTGGGTTTTTAAACATAGATGAAATAAGCTACCACGGAAATTAGAGAGAACATCAAGCTATTAATAATTGTCTAAACAGTGATTAATACTGTCCCTCACCATCAACATACAGATACAGAAACAAATTTTTGACCACATACCTTCTCCTCTTAATCTTTCCATTTCTTTTTTTAAATAGGAAATATCTCCCGTTTCAGCATATTTTACAAAGTTATGTAGTCGCGTCGTTATTTCCTGAAAACACACAAAAATAGATCCATAAGACTTTTTTAAACATTGTAAAAAAACAACCTACTTCATTAATTTCAACCCATACTGAATCAATTTTACTAGTTATCTTTTTGTTTTCTTCTCTAAATATCTCTTGCAGAGGAGACATTGTAGATTAAGGGGTAAAACGTCTATATTATCAAAATAAATTATAACTTGAATAAATTAACATCAACTAAAACCAACAGCAACTAAACCACAAGCTGCGCCAACGGTTTTTTAAATTTAAAACATTTGACATTTGTACTGACACTGACAAATGTTATGAGAGTCAGATTTTAGCAATTTTTTTTCATTCTATCCTTGTTTATTCCAAAGTTCAGTTAGCATATCTCTTTTTGTAGTATCCTAATTTTTAATTTAATTTAATGTTTAAACCATGTAATTAAAACTTAAATAAAGTATTTGGTAGCACGTTTAGAATAGTTACAGCTAGTCAGTTTCTAAAATATTATGTGGTATCGCCTTAAACAGAGTGTGCCGAGTGCGCCTATGGTACAAACAGAGCGATTGTTGAACAAAGTTGTTTTTGTCACTGTCAATTTAATGTCAGCCTAACAACATTTTTTGAATAAAAAGAAATATATTTGTACACGTATATTTGTTTTTGTTAATGATGATATAAAATTGCACAAAATTAATTCACATGGAAGGCATTTTGTGGAAATGGACCAATTATTGGAACGGTAAATTAATTTCATAATATAAAGTAACAATAATTTACATTACTTTCAATTTGTAGGCTGGCAAACCAGATGGTTTGTACTAGAAAACGGTGTTTTATCATATTGCAAGTCCCAGGACGAAGTAAAGCAAGGGTTTAAAGGATCAGTTAAAGTTCAAGCTTGTGAAATAAATGGTAAGTCTTAATTCAAAAAGCATACTCTTACTGTATGTGCATATTTTTGATCAACTTACAACTTACTATCATTAAGTGTAATTTATTAGAATTAGTACATTTATTAGAATATATGTTCTTTAAACCTGTTGAGTTATTTAGTAGGTGTTGTAGATACTTTAGTACAGAATGGTAGGGTCTTTTATGGTGTTTCATTAATTACTAAGGGTTTGTAATATATTGTTCTAGAATCTATCAGTCTCTATTTTCTTGGTTTATTGAAACCATATAACAAAGGGTGGTATTGTTTTACCTATTTATATAATTGGTCATAAAGTTCTCTTTAATAAAGCAATATTAATTTTTGTTGGTCCAGGATGTTGTCTTCTTTCACTTTAGTATTGTGAATTTGTGCTGTCCATTGTATAATGATCTTATTTTACTTGTACTCATTTTATATTAAGTACTTATGTCCAATTTTTTTACGTACTTAAATTTAAACATTGTTTACTTTGTTACAGAAACACTAGTGTTTTATTTTCCCTTGGTGCATCTTTGATATTTTTTCTGTTAGTTTTTGTAAATATCCATTTTCAAGAGACATAAATATGTTTGAGTATGCAGAATACACTGAACAATATATTGTAGTTCCCACTATATGTATAAGAGAGCTTCTAAAACTAGAAAGTTGAAACAGAATACTAAATCTAAATGTTTTTTGCAGTTTGTTTCCTTGATAATACTAGAATGGATCTAGTTATTCCTGGAGAACAGCATCTTTACCTCAGAGCTGCCACATCACAAGAAAGACAAAAATGGTTGGTAGCATTAGGTACTGCAAAGGCTGGTATAAATAGGCATGAAAAAAGTATTGGTAAGTTTTTGAAAACTCTGTATTAAAAATAAGAAACACCAATGTTGTTTTATTAGCTGAAGTTAAATTTACAGATGGAATATACCTACATTTAAATTCCGTACTGTATTATACATTAAAATGGAGGAGCTCATGGTGGTACTGATTAATAATAAAAAAATGTAACAGGTATGTTAAAGGATAACCAAATGTTGAAGAAGATTACAGGAAGCAACTGTTCAAGCCTACCATCCAAATCACTTAGCATAGAGCTAAAATGTCTATAATTCTAAACATTTAAAAATAATATGGATTTAAAAAGTGAGTAAATCATACAAAAGATATTTTTAAAATATATGTATAGTCAGATGACACTATTTGGAAGAGTGATTTAATTATTTGAAGGTGGAGAAGTGGGGAAAGACATATGAAAATCCAGTGGCATACACTCACTTTTATTTCAACAAACATTATATCAAACATCACTAAATTAAACATTTGAATAAATATATTGTGGCTTATTTCCCTAAAAATACAGAACGCCATAAGACAAAATCTATAGAAAAAGAATTAACTATCATTGGTTGGTCACTAAAAATACAGGATGCCACAAGCAAAAAGATATAAAAATAAACAAGTAAATTTTCCGAAAAACTTATTGATGCTACCTGGCTATCGGGGAAGTTGCTGTGAACTATGGGCTAGTGTTGAACTCCTATGGTTAATTTTTATTTATTGTATGGCAATTACAACACATTTAGAACAAAATTACAAACACTAGTAATATAGGTATATGACAAACTTTAAATAATTACAAACAAACATCAAGTGTATTAACATAATCAATTGACTCTGAAGTTGCAAACAGGAAGTCTTCAGGGCTACCGTTATAAGATCTTGAGGGACACTCTTCAATAATGTGGTCGATCGTTTGGTCCTTCCCACAGTCACATTGAGGAGACGGATTCTTTCCCCATTTATGTAGCATGTATGCACATCTGCCATGTCTGGTTCGGATCCTGTTTAGAGTGGACCATGTTTTACGTGGAAGATCAAAACCTGGTGGCTTGTGGGTAATACAGGGCATGTTATTTTGCCATGCATTCCATTCTTGGGACCATGCATTCGTGATGTTGAACTCCTCATGTATCATTCTTGCCGTTTTCATTGGTGGTTTTCTAGAACGTAGACGGGTATTTCGTGCATCCTCGGTATCTTGGTGGATCGGCAGGTTTATATTGTTCATGATCTTTTTGTATTCACGTGTAAGTGCGTCAACTCGTCGTAAATGTGGAGGTGGAATGTGACTTAATACTGGAAGCCATTGGGTGGGAGTTGATTTAATTGTACCAGATATCATCCTCATAGTGCTGTGCAGCTGAGTGTCGACCTTTTTTACGTGTGGACTGTGTAGCCAAACTGGGGCACAATATTCAGCGGTCGAGAAAACAAGGGCTAAAGCAGTAGAGCGGAGAGTGGAAGCCGATGCTCCCCAGGTGGTACCGCAGAGCTTCTGTATAATGTTATTTCTGGTACTCAACTTTTGGGCAGTTTTTGTTAAATGCTCTTTAAATGATAGCGTTCTGTCTAGTGTTACGCCCAGGTACTTCGGTGTTTTGTTGTGGGAAAGTGTGGTATTTTCAAACTGTATGTTAAGTTCCTTTCCAGCAAGTTTATTGTTCAGGTGAAAGCAACTTACTTCTGTTTTGGATGCATTTGGTTGAAGCCGCCACTTGCGAAAATATTTGCTCAATATATATAAGTCTGCCGTCAGAACTTCTTCAGATGTTTCTAGCGTTCGGCATTGTGTAGTGAGGGCCCAGTCATCGGCGTATCCGAACTTTCTTGATTGTGTTTCTGGCATATCTGCTAAATATAAGCTAAATAGTAATGGAGAGAGCACTGACCCCCTGTGGTAGGCCATTTTTAAGTTTCTTTAGTGGGCTGATATCTGTGCCCATCACTACTTGAAACATTCGGTCGTTGAGCATGCTATCTATTAAACGTGCTATTTGTTTACAGGGAATTGCACGGAGAATTTTGTATATAAGGCCATCTCTCCATACTGTATCGTAAGCTGCCGAGAGATCAATAAATGCCGCTGAAGTTTTAAGTCTTCTTTGAAAACCCGCTTCGATGTAGGTGGTCAGTGACATGACCTGGTCCGCGCAGCTTCGTTCTGGTCGAAAACCCGCTTGTTCGACTGGGATCACCTGGAACAGTTCTGTACTGATTCTATTATATATAAGCCTCTCTAATAGTTTGTAGATGGCAGAGAGAAGCGCAATTGGTCTGTAGTTTTTTGGGTTGTCAGCGGGTTTGCCTGGCTTTGGTATGGCTATTATCTTAGAGCGCTTTAGTTCTTGTGGGATATTTCCAGTTTCCATGATGTCTGTGAAAAATCGAGCCAACCAAACTTTTGTATACTTGCCACAATTTAGTAGGAATTCAGGGTGAATATTATCAAATCCTGGTGCTTTTGCTGGCTTAACATCTTTTAGAGCCTCTGATATGTCTTCGCTGGTGAAGGGGAGGGAATGCTCCGTTTCTGTGGCTACATGTTTTAAAGTTTTAAGTTCTCTCTTTACGTAGATAGTGTGTGCTTTATCCTTTGGTGCTCTGGATGTTTTTACTATATGTGATGCTATGGCATCTGGCTTTACGGCTGCCTCTTGACGTTTCGTACGGACACCACTCCCTAATTTTCTTAGTAATGACCATGCCTGTCTGCTTGATTTCTGGAAGTTTAGACTTTCTACTGTTTCGGTCCACTTTTGTCTTCTAGCGGCGTCTAGGCTGTACAGTAGTTCATCCGCTATTTCTTGGTCGCCAGTTTCAAGAAAGCTCTGATATAGTTCCTCGCTATTTTCCGACCAGCCAGGAACATATTCTTTGCGATATCCTCTTGGTATGTGTTTTTTGGCTACACTTAGCACGGCACCAACAAATCTGTGGTAGTTTTTGATATTCGGTGTAATCCACCCTAGACATTTATCTAGATCCACAGAGAAGTCAATCCAGTTGGCCTTTTTAAAATTCCATCTTGGACGTGGGATAGAACTAATTAAAGGGATTTGCGTCCCTACTTCTATTATTACTGGTCGATGTTGGCTGTGTGGGAAATCAGTTAGAACTCTTCGTGAAGCCCCTAAAGGTAAGTCTTTGTTGTCGGTCGAGACGAAGCATAGGTCGGGGTTGTATTCCCGCCTCCATGCCGCAGATCTGAAGGTTGGTCGATCTTTGGCATCAAACAAAAGGTATAGGCGTTCGTCTTCTGCCCATTTTATTAAAGCATTCCCATTTGCATCACTATTTTTGTACTTCCACTGTTCATGATGGCTATTGTAATCTCCAACATATACAGCAGGGTGAGGCTGTACTGGAATTGCTTGGACTGGCCAATAAGTAGCAGGTGGCTTGTAAATGTTGGACACGGTAATGCTAGCGATTTTTGTGACCACATTATAAATACAGTCATCAGTGGAAGTAGAGATTAGCGAAGCATTTTCAATATCTTCTTTGACATATGTAGCTGTGCCATATGTTCGGTGGTAAGTTGCGCCTAATAGTTCATATCCCGGAATTTTGCCCCTTTTTTGTAGTTGCTCCTCTGTTTCCTACGGTTAATATCCTAACTTTGAAGAGTACACTGTTATACTACCTCTTGGTAACAACCATTAGCTCCTAAGATCTATTTATTAATTTATTTTGTTGTATCTGTTTATTGAATAATCTGTGGTATTCTAGATGAACCCAACCCAGATGCACTGAAATCGAAAAAGTCTGAGTTAAGGTTATATTGTGATTTACTGATGCAACAAGTTCATGTCATTAAATCAGCAGCACTACATGATAATGGGCCTGAAATAGAAGTAAGTAGAATTTTTGTGCCTTAAACTTATAACAGCAATAATTACTTTTTGCTATTTTGTCTAGTTGCTTATTTATGTTGGGGTAACTATCAGAGTAGCAATATGTGTTCGTTAGTAGTTGCAAATGTATTTTATTTAAAATATAGTTTTTATATGGAGTATGTGTCATTGAAATTAATTTGCACATTCAAAAGAATAATAAGTAACATTGAACTGCATTTAGAGTTCATTACTTTTTTGAAAACACTTTGAACTTCTAAAATAGCTACTGGGGTTTATAAACTCATAGGACATCCTAAATAATATGAAAAATCAGAGACAGGTCAATTTTGTTTTTAAATGAGAGACTTTGTATGAATATTTTAACCCTTAAGGTTTAACCTCCTGGCCAGAGTAAATGTTATACTTAAAATTTTAAACAGGAAGGGTGGTCAGGTGGTATATTTTAGAGCATTTTATTTTATTTCCAATACTTTAGCTTCCTTATTTAGTAATCCCTGGTTATTTCTTTCTTACTTACCACTGACTGATTTGCAATCATATCAATAAAATATTTGAATAGATAATAAAATATTTGACAATGTTGAATATGTTACGGAATTGTTATATGGAAATAATGTTACAATATTATATTATTATACTATTATTATATAGTGCAGTCAGGGAATAAAAATTAATAGTGATTAATGTGTCAACAAATGATATGCGGATGACACTGTTCTGTTGGCTGGTAATGCTGAGGATCTGCAGATCCTAATAGATATAGTTATGAAAGCCTGTAACAAATACGGCATGAAACTGTAAAAAGCCAACATTCGTATAGTTAGCAAAATCGATCAAATGCAGCATTAATTTAAAATGATTAATGAATCTATGAAAACAGTCAACACACTAGTTTGTTTGATAAAAAGTTAAACATATGTGAAGCATTTTTTCCACCAATCATAAACTATGATTATCGTTGACTTTTAGACACTAGTTTTCATAACCATTTTTTTTTATTTGTATTATCTTAATTGAAAACGGCTTCTAATGTCGAAATCGAACAGTTAAATGGCGAATTTATTTTATAATTTCACAGTATAATATTTTATAAATGGAATTCCATGCTTTACTGGAAAATTTAGAATTTGATTTCTATATAATGAGACAACAGTCTAATAAATCAGTGTACTAGTGTATGTCTAATAAAGATAAGAGTTTAAATTATCATCTAAAGTATACACATACTATACGTCGACAAGAAATTGGGGGAGTGACATAATTGTAACTTGATTTATTAATTGTACGAGTTTCAAATCAAATACGTCGTTTAATAATAAGAAAATCAAAATAATATCGGTTCACAACATTTTAATAGCTTTCCGTACGTTTTAATGGGTAATATGCGGTCTTTTGCAGTGAGCCAGCTGTAACAACAGACATAATATTCACGATGCTTTTAGCAAATTAAAATTTGGTCAGCACAAATTATGTGAAGTGTTTAGATTTATTAGTAGGGTTTCATGACGGCAACTTAAAAGTATTGTCTACATAGAACATTGAATTTGCTTGAGAAATTTAGTTTTGAAAAAATTTAAATAGCTAGATAACGTTATTTTCAATAATTTGTTTAGATAACTTATTGTCAAATAACTTTATTCTGCTCATAAATAGTCTGCTTCTGTATTTTAGAAAGTTTAATAAATATATCGAATGTAATGTTTTTTTTTTGTAATGATTCACGGCTCATTTTAGGAAAATTATTGATTTAGCCTATTTCACTTAATACAGATATCAGAGTTGGAGTCCCATTTTTAAAGACAAAACAAATGTACAGTGATATACAATTTCCGTGCCAATTGATAAAAAATTACATTTTAGCATAATTTCTTAATTTGTGAAATTGTTTTCCGAATTGGAAATTGAAACATCAAAATACATAGATTGTGGTTTAATCTTTATAAACAAAATATTTAAACTAGGGAAGTATGAAATTTTAAGAAATGACAAAGGTACCTGCAAAGACATTACGATGGAATTAACTGTTAATCTCGATCCCAAAAAAATTAAATAAGGACGCCGGCACCGCTACAATTGTGGCATTCTTCAATATTTCACGGTGTCAGGTTTTTGAGTGTGAGTCACCCTCTCCAATATGAGGCCATTAGGACCAGAGTGGCCTAACTGCATATTTTTCAATATCCATTTTATTCAACCACCAATAAGTAAATGTTGAAACGGATATTGCCATAAGTGGCCTAAAATTAGTGAAAATAAAATACAGTAGATGACAGCACATAACTACTTTGACTTAAGTATAATTGAATATATATTTGAATATATAACTGAATTCTTCTTCTTAAGGTGCTGTGCATTTCTGCGTAGGCGTCCACCGTACATTGTCTTGTCAGGTGAGATGTTAAATATTCAGAATTAAATAATCCTGTTTTTAGCAGCATTGCGAAGCATTTCATAGCTGTGGATTCCTGTCCATTGTCGAAACGTTATTGTATAACTAAATATATAATTAAATGTAAACGACAGGAAGAAAAGTGGAAGAAGAATACCCGCAAAGAAAAGTGAACAAAGGACAGGAATATATTAATTCTAAAGGTACCTTAATATGTACCATATAAAAGTTTAAATACAGATGTTCACTGTAAGTGTAAACAGAAATGCTATAACAAAATCGAGGCTGCACAGCAGAAACATCTTTTTGATAGATTTTATGCAATGGAGAACTTTGACTTACAATCATCATATATCTTCTCTTTAAAATTTAGAATCCAGACGCTCCAATAGCAGAGTGTACTCTCTTCATTCATAATTCAAGCGGACAGCCCACCACAGTACCCAAAGAAATTTTTTTAAAAGTTGCCTACTCCAGTAGTATCTACTGGTGTGCGTTATTAGAAGAGGCAGCTCTGGACCTACTGCCTAGGTATACATGATGCTGCTAGTGACAATGCGTCTATATGTGTTTGGGATGAATGTACAGCTTCAAGAGGTCCGCAAGAGATAGTGTCTTGTTTGTTGTACTACATAAAAAAAAGTTTTAAGACAAAAAAATTAATTTTATATTCTGATCAATGTGGTGGCCAAAACCGAAATATTAAAATGGCTCTTCTATGTCAATATAAGACTAGCCATCCAGACTATGTTGTGGAACAGATAGACCATAAGTTTTGTATAAGTGGACACTCATACCTAGCATGTGATCAAGACTTCGGCTTGATAGAGAAACAGAATAAATATTTTAAGAATATTTACATACCTGACAATACCTGACATTTGAGGTAATAAAATCGGCAAGAAAAAGAAATCCTTTCAAGATTATAAGTATGACCAAAGAATACTTTTTTCAACAAAAAATTTAGAAAACAATATTACTAATAGAAAAATCACTATAACAAAGTCAAAAGTTAAGTGGTTAAGTATTCAATGGCTTTCATATAGTAAGCTATATCCATTCAGATTCTGTTTTAAAACTTCTTCTTATGGTGCCCTATCCAATTAGTGGACGTTGGCGACAATTCTTGCATACTCCTCTTGATCTTGTGTTGCTCTAAAGAGTGCATGGACATCGAGGTTGTCAAATCCCTTATGTTTTTAAGCCATGAGTATTTCTTTCTTCCGATGCCCCGTTTTCCTTCTATCTTCACTTCCATAATAAGCTTTAACAATTGGTACTTGAAATTTCGAAATATATGACCCAGATAAGCAGTTTTTTTTCTTTTTATTATTGGCAGCAATTTTCGTTATCTGTCCATTCGATTTAACACTTCGACATTTGTTGTGTGATATATCCAAAGAATTTTAAGTAGTCTTCTAAATACCCGCATTTCAAAGGCTTCCAATCGGTTCATCACATTGGTCTTTATAGTCCAGGTTTCTATACCATATAGCAGTATGGAGTAAATCCATATTTACCACAATCCACAATTAAGTTAAGGCTGCTATTGCTTAGCAAGGTTCTCATATTAATAAATGCTGTTCTGGCTTGCTCAATCCTGCTGTGTATCTCTATGCCTGGATCTAGATCTTCAGTTATCCAACACCGAGATATCTGAACTTGGGGACCTTTTGGATGTTCTTATTGTTTACTTTTATATTTAATTGCATATTTTGTGTTCTACTAACCACTATTACCTTCGTCTTGTCTATATTAATCTTCACACCTTTTTCGATTGAGAAATGTGATTAAGATTCCAGTCCTACTCTCATAGATACCACTTGATTCATATAAAGGTTCTTTATGATTTTAAGTTCATTCTCATCTATCGAACGTTCCTGGAGCAATCTTACTAATTCTGAATGATTAATACAATCGAACGCTTTCTGGTAATCTATAAAGTATAGGAAACATCTTTTTGCTGATCTCTGCATTTCTAAAGTAGGACAGTTAAGCTATAAAGTGCTTCTCTTGTGCCAAATCCTTATCTGAAACCGAACTGTGTGGGGCTAATGTCTCTTTCACATCTGTTGTATATTCTTGTGTGAATTATCTTTAAGAAGAGTTTTAGGACCTGGATCAATATGCTGATCATTTGGAATTAGTCGTAACTATTAGCGTTTGGATTTTTTTGGGATTAGTATAAAGGTTGATTGAATCCAATCCTGTGGTATTTGACCGGACATATAAATGTCATTAAAAAGATCTATCAAGGCGTCTATATTGTCTTCACTCAACATTGTTAGAACCTCTATGTATATGTCGTCTGGACCTGGTGCTTTTCCCCATTTGCTCTGTTTGATTGCCCTTACAACTTCTGACTTGAATATTTTGGGGAGGGTTCTCTTTTATATTCACTTTCAGAGTTTCTTCTACTGTTGTCTTGTTTTTGTTGTTTCTTCTAGTGTTGCTGTGTGTAGTTTCTCCAATGTTAAAATAGATCCTTATCAGTAATTAATTTACTGTCCTTCACAATACTGTTATAACTGTTATAACTGCAAGGTTTTAACTTCTTTAACGAGTTTATGTATGTTGTTATGTATGAGGCCGTTGCTTGTAATGTCTTTTCCATCCTTGTCTTTCTTGGGATATCCTTGGGGACCTTTAATACGGTGGTTTTCCATTGCCTTCCCTATTCTTATGCCGTTGATATCCTTTGTTCATCCGTCTTTTAGAGACAGTTTCCCACCCTAAGGACAAAAGAGTGCCCTGTCTCACGTATGCCCTTCCGCCCTCTATCCAGAGATTGTTGGCAAGGTGAGTGGAATCGCTTATACCGGTGATCGTCCGTTTAAAATTGGCTTTATACTAGCCCTAAAATCTGACCCACTTCCGCCATTTTCGTCGTACCGAAGGTATCCTTCTCCGCCGTGATTACTGTTGTAGTCTTCATCCGTAACCCTGGACAAGGGACCCTAAATAGGTACTAGTTCCCCGGGTCAGGGACCACTTGGAATCTGTAGAGGGCAGGGACTGATTCATTTCCTTGATAGGACTGTCTAAGGAAATCCAAGGAGTTCCTACCCATTACCCCTGTTTTAAAGACAGTAATAATATTGATGTCTTGTTTGACAGTGTTTACTTAAAAAAAAAGAAATTCTGTAGATATACAAACTATCCAGCTTGATCATTTATATCCAGAGGCAAAACAAATAACTGTTGACAAGAAAAAAGATTTGGTGGAGCTTCTTCAATATATTCCTCCAATTCATCATGAATTTTATCAAAATATTAAAGACAGTGCATCTGAGCGAAATGATTTGGATGTGGGCCAAGATGACATATATAGTCACTAAGTAATACTAAAGTTCTCGTAATTTAATTTTTTATGTAGGCAACTGTTTTTTCTTAAGCTAAAAGTAAACAATATAACATTTTTAATAATTATGTTGGTTAAGTAATATTAGTAGTTAACTGATTATTGTTTGTATTAACTAAGATAACAATAATATTATTTTGTAAGAAATAAATAATTGGATCAACTGTGTTATTTTATTTGAATCCTCGATGCCAAAGTGGCCTATCTGTAAATTAATTAGCTTCTAGTGTACCTAGGTTTAATGTAACCAGTAAAACAATGAGATATTACATATTTTTAAAGGTTTAAACCAAATTTAATCATCTTAGTCAGCATACCTTTACTAAACCAATCATACAATTTTAACCTCTCATATTTTCCTTGATTATGTAGAGTAATGCTCTTATCAGTTAGGTCACTCTGGTTCTCATGGCCTCATATATTGCTGCGCACTATAACATTAAATATAATATTTATTTATAGAAAATGGACGAAGCCACTAGATTTTTAGGAGCCACTTGTAACACATTTATTAAAACGCTTGAAGAATGTATGACTCTCTCCAATGTTGATGTGAAAAACCCCGTGACACCAATTAATGACGTACCATTTCCATTGACAAATTCTATTCCCTCCAGTCGAAAGGTAAGCTTAATATTATTCTCATATTTTTAATTAAGGTGGTATGTCACAATGTAAAAATTTATATACTTTTTAGGTACAGTTATCGTCATTATTTCAAAACAAATCTTCAACTTATGATTATGTATGTGAACTGTAAACTTTCTTTTTTAATAATATTTAGTTAAAATTTCCAAAGAAAACAGTAAACTTTTTATAACTGTACTTAAATGAATCCATGTCATAACTGACTTGGTAACCTGCCTAAAATTTGGTATTGTGTTAAATGATTAACTATCCAAAAAGCTTTATTTTAAGTAAACGTTCATTATCCATACTGCCGTAATTTTTAAATTAACTGTACTTAAAGGTATAATTACAATTAAAATCTGCAAACTAGGGATTTTGTTGATATTATAGTAACAAGTAATTTTGGTATTGAGAAAGTAGTTCGGCTGTCACTTAATAGATAGGAAAGTAAGTTCATGTGTCATTTTATAGAAGGCAACAGCGATGTATTAAATGGCGACAGATGCTCGTTTGTCGAATTTAAGGAAAATCTGCAAAACATTGAAAACAAGTTTTGTGGTATGCAGTAACCCTAGAAATACAAATCACGTGGTTTTTTAAAAACATTTTGGCCTAATTTGACCTTCGATCATGAATGAATAACGTTACAGTGTCTTAACAATACAATTATACCATTTTCATCCTTGGCACCCTGACGTTATATAATCATGGTTGAAAATCAAACAAGGCCCAAAATGTCCCGAAATGTTTGCTGGAGGTTATACTGGTTTTTACATAATACATAGATTACATAAGCTATAGCGTGTCACGTGGGGCCTCTGTAAAAACAATTCTAGTTTTATTCACTTTCTGGCAAATTTAATTTTTGTATACAAAACAATATTATGGTAATAATCGATTGATTTTTGTCACTACATTTAAATATTTCTTAAGTTAAAAAAATTATTGAAATTTACTTGAGTAATACGTATATAATTAGAAATGCGAGGAAAATGTTAAATTTTCTGAGGAAAAAATGTCCACTGTTGACATTAGATATGAAAAAATTGTTATTGTACTGACGCTGTTTTTAAACTGACTTACATATTTTAGATTTCTTAGAAATATTGTTCTTATAAATAAATTGTAACTCAATCTTCATTCACTTGAGAAATAACATAACGTTAGTTTATTTGAATGTTACTCATTTTAACTGCGGCGTGAACATACCTCCTAAGATTGATATACTTTTATTAATATAAGAAGATAATAACAAAATTTTTGCTACATATAATATACGGTGTAGGTAAAAGTTTATGGTCGGTACAGTAGAATTTAACAGGATATCTAATACAGATATAGATATTTTCAGCGAATAGACAAAGAAAACAATCATATTTCCTCGTGGTCTCCCCTCCAAACGCCAGATTATTTCTGATCTAGCTTATATGTAAGAAACGGCGACAGTGTTGCTTTATTACATATTTGAATTAAAACATTGAATTGATTTAAAAAATTGGCGATCAGTGGTGCTGTTATATTGCCATTCAAAAACGGATGGCGATATTAAAAACGAAATATTAATTGACGCAAATACTGGTACAAAATTTCTTAAATCCATGAAAAATTTACATATTTGCATTTTTATTTGACGAAATTATAACCCAATTTTGAATAAAACAAGATAATTTTGGCAACATCGCCATTCGTCCCTTCACTTGAATGGTAAATTGCATACGAGACAGGCCGAACGCTATACTATGTATTTCTTTTTGGAAGTAACTTTGTAAGTGTGAAGATAAGAATTAAATATGCCGACTGTTTATACAACAGAAGAACGGGTACCAATAATAAAATGGTAGTTTGGGGGCAATTCAATACAAGAATCTATCAATTTATTTATTATGGCTTTTGAAAATAGGCCAATCCCTATAGAAAAAAACTGTATTGTTCAGCCTTTATTCATCAATTTGAAAAATTTGGCTGTACTAATGGCAGATAAAAAAAATGCTGCCCATCAGATCAACCTCGCGAAAAGAAAATCAAAATTAAAAATAGTGAGGAATATTTTGTAAAGAAACAACTACCATTGTTATAAAGTGAAGACAACTCAAGAAATATTTCCTGATGATAAATTTAATCGGATGCAATTTTGTGAAATTATGATGGAGAGATGCCATGCAAATAATTTTTTTAAAAATATTTTGTTTACAGATGAGTCCTCCTTCACAATTCACAAGAACCATAATCTATCCGTTGTACTTTATTGGTCTGAGGAGAATAAGCATTTGTGTGTTTGGACTGGAATTTTGGGAGACCATATTATTGGTCCTATTTTCATTGAAGGCAATTTAAACGTAGTCAAATATCTCCAATTTCTACAAAATTAAATTATTCCTGCACCTCAACGTATTCAAATTAACTTCAACGAAATTTGGTTTCAACAAGACGGCTGTCCTGCACATAATGCAAAAGCCGTTAGAGACTATTTAGCGTTAATTTTTGCTGAACGTGTTAGTACAGACGGTGAAATAAAAAGCCCCCTCGGTCACCCGACTTAGCTCCTCTAGATTTTTATTTTTGGGGGATGCTAAAAACGAAATTGTACAGGCATGAGTTCGAGCGAGCCACCAACTTGGAGGAACTGAAGGAAAAGATAATCCAACTTGCCAAAACATCGGCAGATGAACTCAACGCCATGAGAAATGCTTTGTATAATAGATTTGATTACTGTTCGTTACAATTTGGTAGTCTGTTGGAACATTTAATTGCATTTAAGAATTTGGTTTAGAATATCTAATTGTTTGGAATTATTTTTATTTGATTTCATTTTTATAGAACAAATTTTATACTAATTATATCTTTTTTTGTTTCATTTTTATATAACTAATTTTTATTTTCACACCTTACCTCCAAAAAATCTAAACGAAAATATGGTTTCAAAGATATTATTTGGAAAATACCAAATAATATCTTATTTTTAATTAAATCACGTAAATTTTCCTCCAGTTTAAATTTAATATAATACACCTTCTCCTTCCTAATGCTTTACTAGTACTGACTGGCTTTATTTATTGTGCTTTATGAAAGATCAACCCACTATACCATGCAATATGCATGACATATCAAGTAAGTTGTGTTCTGTAGAGATCAGCGTTGGATCAACGAACTGTTTTATTCAACCGTTTATTTTATCGTTAATGAATCTACGGTTTCTCACTTGGAAGCCAACTAGTTGATGGTTGATTCAAAGATTGTGTAGACGTAAACAGAGAAACAACGAACACTTTATTCACGTAAATGAGGACAATTAGTTGATCTGAGGGACTACTACAAAAGTAAAAATAACATCCCGACTCTTTCGGGACGATGGACAGTAGGGCGATCGGTTGACGTTGAAAATAAAATAACTATGTAGGTATTCTAATTGATGAATGAGTTTCGTTTTTCGATTGATCTTCATTTTCGATTTAAAATCTTTATTCATAGTTCGTTAAAGTATTTTTATATATATATACTTTTTCTTAGTTAAAATTATTTACCTATTACAAGAGTAATAATTTTATTTTCAAAAATGCACATTTGTAGATGATGCAGCTTTTATGCTCGACTTTCTGAATTTTGCAATGATCGATTATTTTTAATTTGAAATATTAGCACATGTGAGTCCCAGATTCATGTTTTGTATTATTCAGCAAACATGATTTTTATTTGGAGTTTGTGTTTTGTCTAACGTAAATGTGAATTTGTTCTGTGAGTTTTAAATATTTACTTTATTAACTGTTTGTGTGTATAACATGTCTGCGCGTAAAAATGTTAGTATTTTATGGCATCACTTTGAGAAAAACATTAACAGTGAGAAGGCTGTATGCAATATTTGCAAAGAAAAACAGTTATAAATCAACTACATCAAATTTGAAAAGCCATTTAAAGTATTTCGGTATTTTTTTCTTTGATTCAAGAAAGTATGTTTGTTAATGTACTCGCTTATTTGAAACTACTGTTAAACAATCAACTAGTTGAATAATTTAATTAGTTTTTTAACTAGTTACTTGTTTACGAAAAATGGTTCAGTTTTGGTTCATGGTACTGTTTTTCTCGTTACTACAGTGTCCTTACTTTGACAGCTCGACGTTGCCAAATAATTTTGTAACAAGCTTTTTTATTGTGGCGTCATAATTCTATTTATTTTGCATAAATAAGCTTATTTTGATGTTTAGATTTCCAATTCGGAAATCGTACTTAAAATACGAAACATAATATAATATAATAAATTTAATTTATATAAAACGATTTCCGAAGTGGAAATCAAAATGTAAAATTAAACTTATTTAAATATATTTAATATAAAAAACAGTAAGCTGCCATTTAAATCAATTCACCCAAATTTGATTATCTTAGAACATTGTTAAAATACTAAAAAGACAACGGGTCAAATAAAACCAATAATTTTGGCAACGTTGAACTTCCCCTCTTTTGTTGACTTTATTATTTCCACTAATACATTTTCAATGATATAAAGGGCAGACCTAATATACCTCTCTCTTTTTAAACAGGTGTTTCTCGCTCCATCTCACGTAAGGTACATACCGACCATAAACTTTTACCTACACTGTATAACAAAATATATGCGCGTTTCACATTGTTTTGCAAAATATTTGTAATATAAAATGTATGTTGTTTTACTGTATTCTAGTGATAATTTTAATAAAAATGCTCCTTTTATACATATGGTGTCGTGTTTGAGTGACTCGTCAAAAATTAAGTGTGGCCGATCTCGCGACGTTGTCACGTCATAAAAGAATCGCAATAATATTGTTTTTTTTTTATATTTATTGTATAGCACAAGTTTATTAACAAAATTTTTGTTTTTAGAAAAGTTGAATGAGACCACAAATCAAAGGTTTGTTTGTTGCAGCGGTATTACGTCGTTATTTATTTAAAGTAGATGATATTTATATTTAATACAAATATTTCCTATTAGTTGTGATCGGAAAATAACAAGTATTAAATAGTTAAACACAAATTCTATGTACGTATCAGAAAGTGATTGAATTTTTGTATGTTATTTCATTATAATATTATTAGCTCGTTTGTTCGGGATATTTTAAGATTGAAGAGGATTTTGTTTTGTAAAATGTATCGCTTATAGACTAATTTTTATTTTAAATAATATCTCTACTGTCATAGATCTTTACAAAAATACAGCAGTACATCTACAGACTGTATGACTCTACTCTCAAAATACAAACAAATAATTTTCATCAAGCAGTAATTTATGGCACTTCAAAAGTTTTTAATAAAATGAAAATTTACACCGTTGAAACATATTTGAAATCTAGTCTTCATTCTGTTTTACTAGCAAAACGGTCAATAACTCGTTTATTAAAGTCTTCAATGTTGTTGAATCAGAAACGTTGTCACTTTATCAGCTGATAACATTCCCAATGCACTTAGTCTTACTTCTTGCATCGAGTTGCGTAAAAAAGTTTTTATCCTCTTCAACATAGAGAAGTATCTTTCAGCTTCGGATGTTAACATAGGCGTAGCCACTAAAACTTCCGGCAGTTGTTTCTTAGAAAGTAGATATCATTTCTTCCTTGAAAGTAATGATAAAAGGGGAACTGCTTCAGAAATTGTTTGCAGTTCTTTTCTTTCATATAATAGTTGCAATTATGTTTTTAAACGTTTTTTTTTCTTGAAATGGATAAACGTCAACAGTATCAGAGAGCAATTTGCCTGAAAATTCTTTTTGATATTTGTTAAAATGGTCTTTCCTAAATAATGCGGATCTACCAGATCCGGAGCTGTAAAAAAAATCGAGCCGTAATCTGTTGTAAAATGGAATCGGAATCTGCCAAGACTTCTATTTTTTTATTCATTGAAACATATATATCGGAATGAGGACAACGTTGCCTTTTTTAAGGAATAGATTAATCGGTTTCTACTAGCTCCGAATCTAGTTGGTCAATAACTGTATCCATTTTATGAAAAACTTTAAATTACCAAACTTTAATTAATTAAACTTTAATTAACCAAACTTTTTATTCTGTAATCTAAGAAAATATGCACTGACTTGCTCAACCGTTGAATTTAATTTAATACTTTTTTCATTCTTCAAAATTTCCATGAGTTGTAGCAGCTCATTTCGGTATTCATAAACTGTATTGACTCCGCGTGATTGAAACTATCTCCCATCCAATACGTTTGTTCTTTGAGGTCATGTAGTAAAAAATAACAAATTCCAGTTAATTGAGCGAAAAAAATCCGAACAGATGCATTAATTGAAGCTGCACTCCTAATTATAAGATTCATCTGCATAGTAATATACATAGTTTGCAAATGGATACTTCTCTTTAATTATTTTTTGTACCCTATTTACAGCTCCGCTCATAACCCGTCATAACTTAACTTATTATTAACTTATTTGGCGTCTTACTGATTGAAGGATTAATTTCATTTGAAGTACATGCTATTGGAATGGCATTCTGTCCTGGAAGATTTACAAACTTCCAAAATCTTTCTTATAGCTTATTGGAAGCAATATATCGTAATATAATGACTAACTGAAATTCGGTAGCGACATCTGTAGTTTCATCTTCAATTACAGATACATATTTGATTTGTCAAATCTTCTTTAGTCACCTCATCATGGTAAACGCCAGGCATATAGTCCAATAGTTCATTTTGTATACTTTTAGAAGTCTCTTTAAATATTGTTGCTTTATTAAAATGATCCTCTTAAAAAATTGAGAAATAAAATCTATTAGTTCCCGAAAAACTGCTTTATTTGTTGATTCTTACGTTTTATCGTGACCTCGCAATGCTAACTCCAGTGTACCACAGAATCTTATTCAGTTTATAATAATGTTTAAAATATACCTGTTTTTATCAAATACTGAGTCACTAAGTGTTAATAAAAAGCATATAAACAAAAAACTTTTTGTTATGTTATGTTGTATTTTCTTTCATTTATCAGTGTACTGCAACCTTATAAAGTTGCAGTCTAGTTGGGCTTTAGAAGCCCGACTAGAGAATGTTGTGAACCTATGAAGGTTTGTTTACATGCTTTGCTCGGAAATCCATGTCCGTTCCCATTTTACTCATTATTTAAACTCAATTTTTCTCGGCCCGGTGGGATTAGAAACCGGATTTCCTTTATGTCAATGATGAATTCTAGTCTATTAACCACTGAGACTTTTTGGCTTTTTGAATTACAGAGTTGACTTATCATAAAAACAGAAATGATTTTGTGGTGATATTTATTTTAACAAAACAATTTCCTCTTTATGAGCAGCAGGTACTTAAAGTAGTGCGAATTATTCTTTTGAATCAATACTATATATTATTTATATATGCTTTATTATTATAAGTATTTATTGTACTTTAGCTATACCACCACTACTACAAAAGTTGTTTTAGAACATAGTATATATTAAAAATGATTGTTTCAATTAGTTTAAGCTATAAAAGCGGCATAATATATTATACTAGTCTATACGATGTTGGAATTTCAAAAACTGAATAGACAACAAATATTGCATATTGCGATCGCGTAAAATATTTAATTCTTCTACCAGACTATCAGAGATAGGCAATTTTGAGTGAATATTTGTCCAGAATTATCTGTAGATTCTGTATTCTGGGGTTCTTTGCTATAATTTTTTTTAGATGTACCCCATGACTAATGTCTAAACCGCGTACTTATAGGCCGGGTAATTTTTCCTCTGGTTTACCGATTGTTCCTCAGGTTTACCTATTTACCGATTGTCTTTCATTACTTCAGCTCGGTCTTTTGTGTAATATTCTTCCCCCTTCAGAACCATTGAGTCCAGAAGTCCAGAGTCCAGGCAGAATCCATCTGCCCCTTCCGCTATGGATCTTCGTCTGTAACCCTAGACAGGAGCCCTTACAGGGTGCTATCAATTAAAGACAGTTGAACCCTACACAACGAGGTTGTTACTCCTTTCCCCCCTCCTTCTCATCTCTTGTGTAATAAGGCCCCAGACTTGCTGCTGGTATAGCAGAGTTTGTTCTGGAGTGAAATCTAACCCTCTGAGAATAAATAAAAGAAAAGTTTAGTTCGTCTACTGCTGAAATCCTATCAAGATTTTCTACCTATTGGTTTTCCATCTATCGACGAAATTATGTCTGTTGTCGCATCAGTAGAGATGTAACTTAGCGCTGTTGTCCATATAAAATATAGTCTCTGTGTATTTAATTTGAAAGATTAATTACATGGTACATGGTAAAGTTTGTTTCACGAAAAATGGTTGAGTGCTTAATGGTTACCTGAGTTGATCCTATTGTGTATACAAGAGTCTCTCAATAAACTAACGAAGTACAAAAGGTCGCACTTCAGAAAGTTTGTTATTTAATATATTTCATTGGTAGCTGTGTAATACATGATTACAAAAATTTATTAAATTATTTCATATGGTATTTTCAGGTTTTTCAAGTGAATATACTTGATAATTGAACAATTTTTAACATGAAGAAAGTAGTTTTTTTGTTCAACGTGAATAATTGTAGTACATGGATCTAAATTCAGAAAGGTACTTTCCTTCACGCTTTTTAGAGGCTTAGGACTTTCAGCAAAAAACTGGCGTGTTTAAAAGTTTTTGCTCTTCCTAATCGGATATCGTTAAAAATGTACAGTAATAATAGTTTTATTTACAGTATATACATATAAACAAATTCATAATGTACAAAAAATAGATAAATTGAAAAAAAATATATAGAAAAATATATACAAGTTAATATTTACAAAAAAAATACCCAAAATAACCAAAATATATTTATGAATTCCTAAATACCTAATTCTGTTTCGCTGTCGCTATCCTCTTCAAGATTAATAACAATTGGTTTAATTATGTGATTCAAAGTAACATATGAATTTTCTACGTTCATTACATGGCGTACTGAATTTTTCCAACTTTCTGGGGAGATATCAACACATTTCCTTATGAATTCGACTACACCACCACTTAAAGTCGGAGAAACATTTTATGACCTAACATTTGACTTTAGTTGGTGCCACATATGCTCTATGGGATTAAATAAACAATAGTAGGGCGGAACCCGTAACACTGTATGTCCCATATCCTCGGCCAATGTGTCACAAACATATACTTTTTTAATAGAAAATGATTTTCTTCTGAAATGATAACACTTCTAACAGTTCATTTTTTAAATAACTTTCTTCAAAATATATATCTTTTTGTAACAGGTAGTTTTGAATTTCAATTTTCGTGTTATTTGCACTTGGAGACTTATGTAATTGACGACTGTGGTAACTTGCATTGTCCATTACTATCACACTATTTTGAGGAAGGTTAGGTATAAGACAATTCTTAAACCGTTGCTCAAAAGCTCTGCCGTTGTATCCTCATGGTAGTCCACGCGGGAGTCTTTAATGTTCTTTGCAGGAAGCCATAAGTCATTTGGGACCCAACCATTTTCTGATCCTGCGTGTAAAATTGTTATTCTTTTCCCTTTGTTTGATGGAGCTTTTGTTTGACACCTGTTGGAAGAATCGGACCATCCTTTGGATGGTGTTTCATGAGTGTCAAACCATGTCTCGTCCAGATAAATTATTGGTCGATCTTTTGTACGGTACTTTCTTATGGAACATTTTAGACAAAATACTCCAAAGACTAATGCGGCTACAGTTTATTTGTGTACCATCATTAGTAAGCCGTTGTTTTAAAGTATCTAATGGAGGTATGCGTTGCTCTTCGTACATTTTGTAAATTTTTCGTCTTATTAAGTCCTTATTACTTTCGTCAATACATTTGGTAGAACTGGCATCCTTACGCTTCCTTCTTGACTTAATGGGATTTGATGTAATTATTTTCACTGTGGTTAGAGGTATTTTCGTTAAATTGGATATTTCACTGGAAGCAGTATTAGCAGTAAGTACTCTTGTAAGTAAAGAACTATATATTGTTTTTACGATTTCTCTAGCGTCAGCAGATAAATGCTTTTTCTTTGCTGGAACACTGGAAGAAGCACCATCAATGTTTTTCCACGGACGCCACATAATGCTGTTTTATAGGCATAAATAGGTATAACACTGGTAACACTTTCAACTAAATGAAACAAATACTTTTACAAATTATACAGAATAGATGGAATCTGTATAATTATTCCAAGAAATACTTAACGATCAACAAATTTATTGTGGTCATTAAAAGATCAACCATTGATAGTGAAACACACTGTTAAAATGTTTACAACTTATATATAAATATAATGTATTATAATCGTTTTTATAATTTTATACGATTTTTTAATCGTTTTTATATTACCAGGAATTTATGATACAAACAAGATAACGACACTCCACAGTAGCTTCAATTTTACCTGAATACTTACCTGCTCAACTAATGTTGACTAAGCTAGGGTACTTGCGGTTGGGTTTTATTGCAATCATTAAGCACTCAACCATTTTTCGTGAAATACATTATTCGCTCCGTGCGGTGAACATGTGAAATGTGACAAAATTGGACCTATCTTTTTACGCATAAATTTTATCAAAAATGTAAACAAATACATGTTGCGTATTTAATTGTGCTAATAATAACAAAAATATGTGAGTGTAATTTTTATAGGTGTCCAAAGATCACATATAAATTATAGAAAAGAGAAAGATGGATTCGTGTTATTAATATGAAAAAGTAAATATCATTAATTTCATATTTATACAATTGAAATAAAAGAAATTAAATAATTTACCTTAAATAATATTTCATAAGGCTTCAAGCAGAGTGCCTGATGACTTTAGTTTTTATATCATAACTTTTACTTAGTGTTTTTTAATTATACGCTCTTTCACGTGAAAAACTTGATTTGCCAATACTAGATTTTTCCCTTTCTTTTTCGTTTGGGATTGAAAAGATATATTATGATGAATTTCGAGAAACCCAGTTTTTAATACTACAATTTATTTTGTACATAAACTGCAAAAATATTATTAAAAAACTAATTAATAATGTATTAAAATGCATGTATTTAAAAATGTCAAACATATGTCATATATTTAACCTGAAAATTGGGAGGTCCAAAACCGTCAGATGAAGACGGTAGATGTCGCGTCAGTCACGCACGGAGCGAATACACGTTTATTTTTTAGATTTCTGACGTTATAAAAACTATATTATTAAAATAACCACGCTATAAAAAATATGAATGCATTACTCTGATTTTTTCGTACTATTCAATAAGGATATTCTTATAGTAAAGAGACTTCTTTCAAATCGCCTATTTGGTGTTCAGATATTACACAACATTTGTAGTAGTGAAGGCAACTATATATTTTTTACCATTTCGAAATATTGTTTTTATATTTTTATTATATTTATTAAAAATTTATGTTTTTTTACTCTAAATAATTTTTTATATGAAATATATTGCTTGCATAATAGATAGTATATTATTGCATTGAAAAGTATGAAACTACTGAAAACTTATGAATTTGTATTCTATATTATTTTAATATTATTTTTCATGGTCGTAGCGTATTATTGGTATTAGTTATTTTATTTGATTGAAAAAAATTTACCTTTTGTGCGGTCCGTCCGGAGGTTAGTAGACAGTAATTTGACAGTATTAAAAGTTATGTGGGGAAAATTATGAAACTGGAAGCTTTTAAGTTCCGTTTTAAGGAACTTATCAGCCCGAGAAAAAAGAGTAAAAAAAAACTGTTAGACAAGTGATACATGGAGTTTTCCCTACAAGCTACGAAAAATTAGTTCGATCAAATAGTACACAGTAGAAAATAAGTGTATATTTTGTCTCTTCATACTAGACTGAACATCCAGCTCGCTGTTTTTATTATTGCTATAATTTTGTGGTCTTGACTACAGTGTCGCTAATCAATTGTTACCTGTTTTGTTCTTTTTTGTTTGAGTAAAAGTCACCCTTGTCTCCCACTATTATCAATTTTCATCAATAATTGTAGAACATAATTCTCTACTCTGTGACTATTCATTTCTCCGATCTTTTCCCCAACTACTGTAATAATTGTGTATTAAATTTGTTATGTAACAAAAACCTTCGTCGTATTGCAATATGTCATAAGACGATTTAATTTATAAGCTGCTTGGATCGGATTTCTTCTCCAGTAGTTTCTGATCATCTGTCTAGCGTGCTGATGATTTTCAGCTACTTCTTTTGTCAATCCTCGATCGCTTTTCCTTCTTCGATAAACTTTTTTGGGATTTGTGACGTGGTGCATAAAGTGTTCGAAATCTATCTCATTCCTAGAGGACAAACATAACCTCCTCCCGGCGTCAGCATTGCAAGATTCCTCTTGCGTTACTACGATGATATCCTCGATTGACAGGATTTTTTGATCGTCAGTGCCAGAAAACTACGTAGTCTTATTCGCCATGACCTACCGACCGCACCATCCTGGTGGAGCTTAAAGTCTATAGCGCATCCTCTCACATGTTTCTCCACTGACAGTGGTTATGTCCCCCACATTCGGATTTCGTAATTTGTTCCACCGTCCGAATTTCAGCACTTATCACTCTCTCCTCCTCACTCTTTTACCTTTCTGCGTGTACAATCTTCTTCTTCCTCTGTATAAGCAATTCTTTTTGTTTATTGTCGGATTACTTCCTCTATAGAAGTATTAATCCGCCAATGAATACCTCTATGGAGGTATTTATCCATTTCCATCTTTTGCGTGGTCGTCCGATACTTCTTTCGCCGATTCTGCTTAGGTGGTTATTATATTCTTTTTTTTTTTTTTTTATTTTGTGTCCATTCATTTATACACTGTACGCTACATTTTCTTCTAATGTCTTTACTTCTTTTTCGATCTCTCAGCGTATTTCCTGTAATTATTCTCAGCACTTTCATCTCTGCAGTTTCCAATAGCCTTTGCGTTGTGACTGGGTCGAATCTTGCTCCTGAGGCATATGCCATTATTGTTCTTACACTGGCTTTATAAATTCTTGACTTAATCTCAATGTTAGTGTGTGTTTCGCCATATAGTGTTATTAAGGCATCCTGCCTTTGTACTACTTGATATCTCACGTCCTTATCCAGGTCTCCATAGTTAGACAGTGTAATTCCTAAGTATTTTATTTCCATTACTTGTTCAATACTGATGCCATCAATATCTATTTTACATCTGGTTGGTTCTGTGCTGATTACTATTGCTTTAGTTTTCTGAGATGAGATTATCATATTAAATTCTTTTGCTCATATGTTAAATTTGTGGACCAGTATCTGCAGGCTATCAATATTACGTCGTCTGCGTAACAGAGTATTTTTATTTCTTTTTTTCCCATTCTGTATCCTCGTCCTTTGTTACAATCTTACTTCAGTCATTGTAGCGTGACTCCCAGTTCTCTTTCAAAGAGGCAGAGTGTGTGACACATTGTCCTGAATTTCGCCGTATAAGCAATGGTTTTCTGTCGTACCGAATTCTTTCTTCGTCCACATGCAGTCATTAATTTGACAAATTAATCAGCCAAATCTGTCTTGAGTTTAGAATGGTAGGGAGAGGGCCCACCAAAGTGGCGTGGCAGTGGCAAGTAGCAAGTAGCACGCGTCTAGCATAATGTAACCAATGAAAACGAATGATTCAGTTTACACCAAAATGACAGTAACGTCATTCATTCTAATCATTCGTTAGGATTGGTTACATTATGCTAGACGCGTGCTACTTGCTACTTGCCACTGCCACACCACTTTGG